CTCAAAAAAATAAAAAAACAGGTGTTCAAACAAATACTTATATATGAATGTTCATATTGGCACTTTTCATAATAGCCAAAAGATGGAAACAACACAAATGTTTATCAGTGGATGGATGGATAAACAATGTTATATACCCATATAATAGAAGATCATCCAACCATAAAAGATGGAAGTAGTACTGGATACATGCTACAATGTCTTAAGGATGAACCTCAAAAACATTTTGCTAAGTGAGAAAAGCTAGACACAAAAGGACACATATTGTATGATTCCACTTAAATGAAATATCCAGAATAGGTAAATCCATAGAGAAAAAGAAGCTGAGGGAGGTGGGGAGTAACTGCTTGATGGGTATGGAGTTTTATTTTGGGGGTGATAAAAACTTTTGAAACTAGATAGAGGTAGTAGTTGTACACATTACAAATGTACCAAATGCCACTGTGTAATTCTCTTTGAAATGGTTAATTTTATGTTGTATAAATTTCACTTCAATAAAAAATTTGGTTGATTCATTTTGTACACTTTCCTACATGTAAGTTATACTAAGTTTGGGATACTTTGGTGTAATCAAAATAACAGGAGCTGTTTTGGGTGTGGTGGTTCTTGCCTGTATTCCCAGCACTTTGGGATGCCAAGGAGGGAGGACTGCTTGAGCCTAGGAGTTCAAGACCAGCCTAGGCAACATAACGAGAGCTTGTCTGTACAAAAAGTAATAATAATTTTAAAAAGGAGCCAGGTGTGGTGGTGTATGTCTGTAGTCCCAGCTACTAAGAGGCTGAGGAGAGAGGATCTCGAGTCCAACAAGTCAAAGCCACAGTGAGCTGTGAGCGGACCACTGGAGTGGAAGCCTGGAAGATGGAGTAAGACACCGATGAAAAAAAAGAAATAGCAGGAGCTTTGCCAAGCACTGTACTGGTTTTTATACATTTTAATCTCATACACTAAGCACAGCCATTGTAGGTGTGGCACACAGGAGGACCCAGATAAGTTTGTTTTTTTTTGAGTTGGAGTCTCACTCTGTCACCCAGACTGGAGTGCAGTGGCCGC